CATCCATCCATCCATCCATCCATCCATCCATCCATCCATCCATCCATCCATCCATCCATCCATGCATCCACCATCCATCCATCATCTTTACCCACTTTTCAGGGAGCTGCTGCCTATCTCCAGCAGTCACTGTGCTAGAGGTGGGTACACTGTACACAGAACAATAATAATATTGTAAGCTACTATTATAGGCTTCAGATGACAGTCAGTCTGATTTTCAGAGATGTCTTCACGGACTCTTAATGTGAAGGACTGAATAAAAATCCACAAGTGCTCATGTTGTGAGTTCCATTGCTTCAGGAGTAATAAACCACATTTTGAGTTTAGGTCAAATAAAGTACTCCGTGTTGTTTTTTGTAGTTTCACCATCAAAAGTGTGCCCATAACCTTCAGATATGAAAACATTTTCAAAATTCAGAGCAAATATAGTCAGGTTTAGAAGCACAGTGGAGTTTAATTTGAAACATAAATACTATTTTGATGCTTTTCTGAATTTTTTAAAAACTTTTTTCTGGATATGCTGGGTTAACTTAAATCTTAACTTTATTCTCAAAACTCAGAAACAAAAAGTATTTTTTCCTCTGAAAGGTCCTAACAGGCTGCTAGTGTTATTTTAAAGCCAAAATGGAGAGAGTACCCTGTCCTCCCTGTGGTCACTCACTCCAGCTGATGCGATCCTGCTTAGCTGCATGCTAAAGATAAGCTCAAGTGTATGGGTCTTTCAATCCTGCTGTGTTTTGTCCCACCCTAATTTGGAATATTTCCATATATTCCAGTTTAACATTCCGTTGAAAGGTTCTGGAAAGTTTACGTAACTTTACCGGAAACTTTCTGCCCCTTTGTGTTATTTAATTCTACTCTTAATTGTTTACGTTCTTTATTTATACATTTCTCTACCGTTTGTCATCATCATGGCAAACTTAATATAACCTGACTAAGGTACTATCTTACTGGGTTATGAACAAATTACAAACAGCCTTTTTTAGGGATTTACCAAACCATTTGCGGGGTGTTCTCAGTTTCCTTGCATGAGTGATAGCATGCTCCCATGTTGCTGGCATTTTTAACAAATTTCAAGAGATTTGTGCAACAGATCTTTTTCTCAGAAAAATCAGAGTTGTTGCAGATGTCTGGAACCTACCTCGAATCCTTCTCAGTTTATTTTCCATAACGATGGAGCACCAGAGCTGTGTTTTTTGTATGCAAACTCTGTAAATTTTGGCCTAAATTTGATTATTTATTCGTGAGTCGTTCAGTGTGAACCCAAATCAGTTTCCAACAGTCTCAGCCCAGTAAGATACTAGCTTAATTTTTTTCTCTTTCATCTCCGAATCTATAGTTTTTTGAATTTTTCCTCCCTCCTTCCCTCTTTTCTGCAGCTATGATTCTCTCCCTGGCTGCTGCAGCTGCTATAAGTAGCGGCAGCAGTAACAGCTTCAACTCTTCCTTCCTCCTTGATTCCTTCGACTCATCCACCTCCTGGAGCGAGGATCCTTCTAACTCCTCCTCTGAACCAGTTGTACGGACTTTGACTCCTGACCTCCAGCCGGCGACCACCGCTGTTGCTGTCCAGGAAGTCAGCCCCTGGGATATTGCTCTGTGTGTAACTGGGACACTCATCTCATGTGAGAACGCTCTGGTTATTGCTGTGCTTTTCTACACACCGGCGCTCCGCGCTCCCATGTTCATCTTGATTGGATCGCTGGCGGTGGCAGATCTTCTGGCCGGCCTGGGCCTCATTTTGAACTTCATCTTCACCTATTTGATAAACAACTCAATGGAGTTTGTGACACTGTTGTCTGTTGGACTGCTCATCTCAGCCTTCTCAGCCTCCGTCCTCAATATCCTCGCTATCACCGTTGACCGGTACCTGTCGCTGTACAATGCCCTGACCTACCACACTGAACGGACAGTTACCTTCACCTATATGATGGTGATCTTCATCTGGGTGTTGTGCCTCACGCTCGGCTTGCTGCCGGTGCTCGGATGGAACTGCCTGAAGGACGAGTCTAAGTGCAGCATTTGCCGGCCTGTCACCAAAAACAATGCAGTGGCGCTTGCTGTCACCTTCCTCCTAATCTTTGCCCTGATGATGCAACTCTACCTTCAAATCTGCAAAATTGCATTCCGCCATGCACAGCAAATTGCAGTGCAGCACCAGTTTCTGGCCATCTCTACCACCAAGGGGGTCTCCACGCTGTCGGCCATCCTGTGTGCCTTCGGGGTGTGCTGGCTGCCATTCGCCATGTACTCCATCGTGGCCGACTCCACTTACCCTGTAATTTACACCTACGCCACGGTCCTCCCGGCCACCTGCTGCTCTGTGATCAACCCTGTCATCTATGCTTTCCGAAACCCAGATATCCAGAAGTCATTGTGGATGGCTTGTTGTGGCTGTGTTCCATCTAGCCTCTTCCTAAGACCAAGGACCTCCAGTGATGTGTAGCAATGAAAGATGGTATCGGAATGTTGCTCGATACAGATTCACGGCTGTAGAAAGGAGAGGACAAAAAAAGGAAATGGTTTGGAGAAATGTAGAAAGTTACTGCTCTCCTCAAATCAAGGCTTCTGCTGCTGCTGATGAACTCAGAGCTGGCCACAGTGGAACAGGCACTAACTGAGAGTTGACCAGTGCACGGTCAAAGGAGATCCACCGAGACAACCAACAGAGCTATGGAGGCAACACAAAAGCAACTGCAAAAGCAGGTATATCGGCATGGTGGTAACTTGTCACTTGGAAAACTCCCCTCCCTTAGGGTGAGAGAAGTGACATCTGCATCTCAAGAGTAGCATATATGAGAAGATTTGGGGTGGTGTGTGTGTGTGTGTGTGTGTGTGTGTGTGTGTGGGGGGGGGGGGGGGATGTAAAAAATCTCCAGAGGATGGTCTGGATGGTTATGCAATCAGAAGGTGTGAAACAGTCTTAAAATATTGTACGTGTCTTTATTGATGTCTTTGAAATGAAACACAATGAGCTAAAATTACAAAATGAATGACCTTAAGCATTCTCAATGAGCTATTTTTGTAGACTTCTAGCGAATAATGATTAAAAAAAACTTTACTTTTACACCCACGTTCCCTTTATCTGGGTCTGATGAAGTAGTTAAAATGTCCGTCGATGGAGTGTAACATTAATCAGCTCTGATAGTAAAACCACATTCTGTTCTTATTACGACAGAGCCCATTATGGATTCCCCCAACAGCACAACTGCCGTTAAGCTAACACACCGTCCTCCGTTCAAACGATAAACAGAACGCTCCTCAGCAGCCTCCTTAAGCTGATTTTAGAAGAGGAGGTTCCATATATAGACTGGCATGTGCCGTCGTCCTCGGTGGGATAAAATCAAATCTGCTCCATGTCGGAGGAAAAATGGGTTTGTCGGAGCGCTGCTGGGCCGTGACTGTGAAGCAGAGAGCTGAATTCAGCACCAAGGACAGCTTCACTGCAGAGCGCCCCTACCCTGGGAATGCTCGGCTGTAGCAGGGGTGGGAGTCTGGAAAGTAGGTTATGCAGTTCTCTACACCATCTTGATGGGGGAACGTGAGACGAGGGGTTTAAAGGACAATTCCAGCTTCATTTTAGTTTCCTTTTTCTGTTTTTTTTATTTTTTTTAGCTCTCATTGATGGAAATTATTGATAAGAAAAACAAAACAAGGCTCCTGGCACCAGCTAGGAGACATCAGCATTTTTTTCCCATAGGCGAAGGAAAGGACTTGTGTGTTCATGAGCCTCTGCGTACCGTTGTTTAAGTGCCTCTAAATTTAGACAGCTTAGTTGCTCAGCTGAGAATATATTAGCTATCCTGATCACAATCCATACTGAAAACATCCTATTTCAGTATGTATTGTGATAAAACAGTTGTAGTAACCTGGATGGCTTCTATGCCAATGCTAAATGCATGTCAGTCTAAAGCCGTTCAGCAGATGAATCCTCCGAAAATTGTACAAACATCCGATTCCATTTGCTCTGATCTGCGCTGTGTGGCTTTCCTTTTTGTTTGCCTACTCACTGCCGGTCAGCGGTTGCTTCGTTTTCTCTTCACACTCACGCATCGCCTCAAAGAAGCAGTGCTGCTTGCCGCCCCCCGTCCCTCGCCAACCCCACCCCACCCCCCCAAAGGCTGTGCGGGTTAATGAGGACCAGGAGAAGTGAAGTGACGTGGCGTGAAATGGAAACGCCAGGCAAGATGTACTTTAAGCCAACCTTAGGTCACATCCAGACACCACCCCACTCCTCATCGGGATACAGCTTTATCCCACTGAAAAGACAGCATGCAAGTTAAATTCAATTAGTTTTATTTACAACTCAGCACCGAGGAGGGTATTTGGTCTTTGGAGGAAGAAGTGGGTTAAAGGTGATTCTGTCCAACCTTTATCTGCACTTAAATGATGCACCGAGAGAGGTTTTCTCTCCGGTCCTCAGCACAACCTCAGAGAGAGTTGCAATGACTAAGCTGTTGGCACGCTGCTAATATACGTGTGTAGGTGGGAGGTGTGCTGGCGTTGGAAAAATCTGTATGGGCTGTAGCTTCGAACTCAAAGAGAATTTCACTTTAGCAAGAAAAACGTTTGTGAAACAAGAGGGAGTACTTTAAATTCAGTGCTTTCTACCAAATAAGTCACAACATTAGCTGAAAACAAAGAACGTTTAGAAATGGCGCGCAGGAGCAGAGGTTTTTTATATATATATATATATATTTTTTTTATGAGTGTGTAAATTTAGAGTGGAATCGTTTTTATACTTTTTCTTGGCAGGAAAAACACAATCAGTTGTTTTTGCAGCGATTGTCAGCAAAACAACAGCTGCTCAAGTTTCTGTCTTTTTCTACCTGATCTCGTTTTTTTTAGGTTTCTTTCTTTTTGTTTCTTTGTTTTTTGCGGGGTCTGTTTGGAACAAGATCTTCTTTGCAATAAGGTCCAGTTGAATTTGGCTGTGTACAAACAAGTAAAGAGAAAGGAAAGAGGTCAGCTTTGAACAATGTGCCAAAAAATACTTGATTTAAAAAAAAAAAAATACGGGGCTGGGTAGATTGTTTTTCTGAATGCATTTAAGCATAAATGGGTCTTTACAGTAGGACAAGTTTAAATAGGACTAATGTTACTTTTTTGTTCATGAATACCACAAACAAAAATGTTGCAACAATCTGTATCTTGGGTTTTGTTGGCTTTAATGGTTTGAGCTTCTTTAAACTTCTAAAATTCCAAATTTATGATAAAACAAACAAACAAAAAAAACCAGTCCGGCCAGTCAATAAAGCTTTGACCACCTCTCTTGCTCTCAATTTAGCTTCAGTTGATTGATTGGACTACCTAATGGTAAATCATTGGTGTCAATATTTAGGTGAATTACATTCAATTACACAGAGGCTGGAACCAAGAGTTGGAAGTAGTTTGGTAATTTTAAGAAGCTTAGGAGTTAAAGCTATCAATCTCTGAGAGCTAACTGAATCATTTCCTGTCAGAATCTGATGTTCCAATGCTAACCTACTAATGTGTCAGGCCAATTCTTGCTTTTGGAAATGCTAGATGGGACACATGGTTAAAAATGGAATCAGATTGGTGTCACAGTTGATCTGGACTGGTTCTAAAATAAGTCTTTTTAGGCTTCTACAGTTAAAAGATGAGCACTCCTTTTGATGTTGACTTTGCAAAAGCTAAATATTACAGCATCATTGTAACAATGACCATGAACTAGATTAAAAATAAATGTTTTGTTTTTGTGGTTTGCTTTGCCCTCTGGATGTCCTACACACTAATGATATCCTCTAACAAATGGCCAAACATACAGACCTATTTAGAATAGGTTGTCAGAAAATCAGCAAAGGCAGATTTTAGCTCGACACAAACTGTAGCTTTTTTTTCCCAAGAATACAAGCCACAGAGTTTAAATCTAAAGTAAATGAACTAGCACAGTTGCTGCTGTGAAACTTATAGTTTTTACTATTTAACCTTCCCCGGTTAGATTGCGAACTGCTCCACCAGCAGAACATTCTTCGATGCATAAATGTTTTTAATTTATTTTTTCCCTGTGCACGAGTTCTAACAAAAATGCTGAAATACTCCTGCCACACCACCAGGTGGCAATAATGTCCATGTTAACGATGTATCACAATAAAGACAGACTATTTCTAGCATAGTGATTATTAAAAAACAATCATAGCCCCCCCCAACACACAAACACACACAGCTACCTGATAGGGCTGAACAATAATGTCGCAATATGATAAAATGAGATTTTCTAATCGCAAAGGCTGCTATTTGACTGGTCACATGATCTGGTTACATGACTTGTGATTGAGCAGAGCAAAGCAGAGCAGAGAGTGGGAGAAGTCAACACTGCGCTTTAACCGGTTGCACAATGGCGTCAGCCTCGACAGAAGTTGATACAACTAAAAGTTTAGTACCAAAGAGGGGCAGCACTAGGCCTGTCACGATAATAAATTTTGCTGGGCGATTAATTGTCTCAGAAATTATTGCGATAAACAATATATTGTTTGAAATTTGACAACAATTAGTAATTATTGTCAATTTTAAGAAGAAATGTTGGTTAATTTGTTGTGCATGTAGTACCTTTTTTGACCACTGATGGCAGTAGAAGACTGTTTTAATTGAAGGATGGATAGTGAGGGAGCAAGCAACGTGTCTCTTTAAGAAAAATGGGAGGGAGGCCCCTTGACGTGACATGGGCTGTCTCTCTTTCCTTTATTTTGGTTCTCAAAATGGCGGATGCTCGCTGGTTTGAGCTCTTTAGTGCAGAATATTTCACACAAAGTTTTTAATAAAAAAATCAGTAAACAAGTTCTCAGCTTCTTTTTGCAGAGAAAAACAACTTTTTACATGAAGGCACAGGTTTCAACCGTGAATTTTGGAGCTTCGACAAGACATAAGTTTTTTTCTGAGGTCTGCCTGTTAGCTTAGCTCATAGCTTAGTTTAGCTTAGCTGCTTTTAACAATCCAAAAACATGATTTTGGATTGTTAAAAGCAACTAAGCTGAGAAGTTAAGCTACGAGCTAAACTAACAGGCAGACCTCCGGGGAAAAAAACCTCCGTCTTGTCCAAGTTCCAAAATTCACGGTTGAAACTCGTGCCTTCATGTAAAAAGTTGTTTTTCTCTGCAAAAGGAAGCTGAGAACTTTTTTACTGATTTTTTATTAAAAACTTTGTGTGAAAAATGCTATGCTAAAGAGCTCAAACTACACCTAGCACCCCACATTTTGTAAACTGAAAAACAGGAACGAGAGACAGCCCATGTCACGTCAAGGGGCCTCCCTCCCATTTTTCTTAAAGAGACACGCTGCTCGCTCCCTCACTATCCATCCTTCGGTTCAACCTTATACTGCCATCCGGTGGTCGAATGAAGGTACTACACTTAAAATAAATTAATTAACATTTCTTCTTAAATTAAACAATAATTACTAATTGTTGTCAAATATCAAACAATATAT